TTTAGATGTCGACTCTATGGCTGCACAGCCTTTGCGCTCCTCAGCATTGGTTCAGGGGGCAGGAATAAGATAAACTAAGCATCTGTATAAAAGAATCAGCTTACTAACAGAAACACTGCAACAGATACATGCATTGGAGATCTAACCTCGCTTTCTAATAAGCAGGGTAAAAATATGATAATAGTCCTTAATCTAAGTTTCTTTTAAGAATCTCTAAGGGCCAGTGACAATGTTGTGATTATTAAAAATTATTCCAAGCCCGTGTTGCCTGAGTACTTCAGTCAAAGGTATTTAGAGATTAGTGTGAGCAAATTTTGGAATGGAAACCTTGGACAGAATCTGAATAGGAATCTCTGCTTCCAGAGTGGTTGGCTGACTTACCCGGAGGACGTCTTTCGGGGTAAGATATGAATGGACTTAAAGAAGTCAAATACCATCTACCAATAGTGAGGGTAAGCAAACAATGCACTGTAGAAGGCAGATCATGAGTATTGTACTGCTTTTGAAATAGTATGAGATGAGCAGAACTGTGATTTTGACACTGTTTTGACAGGAGACTATTTTGGAGCTACCCAACTACCCCATTCAGTTCAAGATATAGGATGGCTGAGAGTCTGCTAAAACTATTTTTTTCCCTAGTTCCCTCTAATAATATGAGCATAACATTATATATTAGCATTATATATAGAGAATACATATATTATATGAGCATAATATATATAATATATATTATATAATATATATTCCCTCTAATAACATTTGGGTCTAATTTTCAAAGAAGGCCACATACAGACAGGAAGATTTACCCAAGGATGCTGGTAAAGAGACATCACAGTCCTTATGGAAGCCTCAACAACTGAAATGCAGTTTCAAAACAACCTTTATTCTGCTTATTACAGACTTATTACAATTTTTAAAGCAACCCAAAAACAAGACACAGCTCCATCAACTCTACAGCTTGAACAAAACTTCAAGGAGGCATGTTTTCACAGTTGCCTTGTAAAGGCAATTTACAACCTGCTTTAACCTGCACCTCCTGAAAGACAATTTTAAAACAAAGTAATCTTAATGTTTTAAAGACATTTAACAGAACAGAGCTTTATTTTTAAAAACAAGAATAAAAAAGAAAATAGCAGCATCTTGGGCAGCTAATGCAATCCCATCAGGACAAGTGCAATGTAACATTACCAACTTCCACAGTTTAGTCTCAACTGCAGTAAATACAACATGATTTTACAGAAAATGTTGCCCTTTAGAACCTTGTCCCATGGGAGGCATTGTGCTTTGAGCTGCCCACTTCTAAAGTGATCCTGAAAAAAATTAGTATCAGGATTCACTTTCCCAACTTAATACCATGCATAGCAAAAGCACTGTGTGAAAATCGGCAGAAGTTTTCCTCATTAGAAGCATCTGAATGTTTTCCCAAGCATTATTATTTCATTGCCAATTACAACACAAAGCCATTTCTCACTACAGAACAGTTGACATCAAATAAAAAAGCTGAAGATTTGGTTTTACAGATTGCTTGACAAAATTTCTTAGATAACAGAACCATACAGACAAGCTTGGTTTGGTTTTTTTTTCGCTTTTTTTTTTGCTTTTTTTAAGAAACTATCCAACAACACAGAAACTCAGTTTTGTAACTGTATCTGGAAACATGCTGCACCCACAAAGGTCTAGTGTGCATGTGTGCGTCTTTAAACAAAGTTAATGACATCACTTACTGAATTCAGCAAAATGATCATGTTCTGAATGAAAGGTGAAAGTGCACCTATATTGGGATCTGTTCACACATTAACACAGCAAGTGTGCACCTGTATGCGCAGATACATATCCCCAACCTGCAAATTCAAATTTCAACTTAAGTAAATCAGAAACTACTTATTTTGCTTGGGAGCTTTGGTTCTCTTTGCTATGTCTCATACCTTTCAAAGGCCTTGTGAAAGAGATGCTGCAGTGCAGCATACCTCAGGAATTTAAATCAAAACAAAAAATTCCACCCTCCCCCAAAAAAGGTAACAAAACAAACCCCTTCCACATATTATATTAGATGAAAAAGCTACACATCAACAGAACTACAGAAAAAAACCACTGTGTTTCTTCAGTTATATCCCCATGCTTTTTTTTCCCGTATATAGTAGTCTGTTTGAGATCAAATCAAAACTGGAGTGAACGATATGGTACATTAAAGACAAACAACTCTGCAGTGAATAGGGCCTTTGGCAGGATTTAGCTTTGTGCATTTAGGAGGGAGAGAAATGCAGAGGCCACACAATACATAAGTACCAAAGAAAACCTACTCATGCCAATTTGAGGGACTTGATGCCTTAAGCCCCTAATAGTTTTTTATTTTTCTAATTTTTATAAACCTTATAAGTTTTATAAGTAGTAGAAGTAGATTTTAAAAGCAGCAACCCTCACTCCCTTTCCCTGTAATACAAGTAGTTTACACATTCCTTAACCCTCTTACCCCATTCTATGCTCCCCATATCAAATCTACCCCTGAATTCAGTGGCAATGTTTAGTCTCTTGTCAAGGCAAGGCCTAGGCTGTTTGGAGAACAGTCATATCAGGGCCTCAATAACAAAACGGAGTCAGGAATTAGGTGACTAGGTACCCTTTGTGCTCTGAAGATGATGAGACTGATGAAGTAGGTGGTCCTAAAAAGCCCCCAGACTCAATTCTAAGGGGGTGGATCCCAGGCGGTCCAGAGCAAAGGCTACGGGGTGGACACACCTGGGATTGGACAGATAATATAAAATGTAACATCTCAGGCACAGCTGGGTGTGCGTCTTGTAACACCTATTGCCTTGGCACATTAAAGCCTTTCCTTATCTCACCCCTAATTAACTGCTCCGGAGTTATTTTTTAGCACCAACATTCCACAGCATCAGACTTAACTGATCCCTGCAAATTGCATAGACCCTGTGTAGGCAGAACATCTCTTTAAGAAGCCCTAAGCACTCATCCTTACAACACAGTGCTTATTTCTCATTGTTGCTTGTGCAAGAAAAGCAAGTGCCAAATCTCATACACACTGGGTTTTTTTCTCCTACAGCCACACATGAAGAGAAGTTGCACAGCAAACAGGAATTATGTTTCCATTCAGTATGGAATTATATTCCATACTGGACAGGGCATGCTAAGGATATGGCCCACTGACATAGCAGGGGTTTTCTTAATATGAGGAAAATTAGATCCAAATGCCTTAACTATGATAAAATTTCTTGACAAAAGCTGCGTGAAACACCAATTTGGATTACATATATTTTGCCTACAGAGAAAAAAATACAATTTTACTCTTAAAATATTTAACATTCAGAAATTAATATATGTCCAAAGAATATCTTGGATTGCTATAAGTGTTAAACTACTGTATATTCAACTAAGCTGTAACTTGAAGCCCAATAGTATAACTGGCATGCTAGAGTAATTGTTGGTGCTTTTCACAGCAAAAACCAGTTATTGGTATACCAAATTTACATGGTCCTATAGGCCTGAAGAGAGTGTGGAATGAGGAAGGTAAGGGATGAAGACTCTACTTCTATTAAGGAAAAATATTCAGAATAATTTTCTAAGTGATGACTATCATGAAACATTACTATTTGTTGAATCGTGTTTCCTGATATAAATTCCAGTAAGAAAATACACTTATAGGAAAGCAAAGACAACCCAACAAAAAAAAAGAGCACAAAATCAAAATAAAATCAAAAGCCTTACAGCATCAGAACTGAAGTAGCAATTTGAAAATGAAATGATAATATAAAGATCATTGGAGACCAGCAAATTTCCTCCAACAGCTTATAAAGCCCTGCGTATTTAGAAATAAAACACAAGTATCTCTAAAGCAGAGCTACTATGGGAGAACTCCATGGGTCTTGCTCTTTTGATTGTGTGTGCAACTCTCTTTAATGGTAATGGGTATTGCCTTTTTTAATCTTGGGGGAAGAATAAAGTCATATGTTCACTTAGTCAAATCTTTTCCAAGATTTCTCTGAAGTTCATTACTTTATCAATTTGCAATGTGTGAATTTCCTCAGTGGTCAGGACAATAAGTAACCATTGCAAACCACAGACAGTAAATTATCCCAGAATTACTAATAAATCTGATTTAGTAGGATTCATGTATTTGTTTTCTTTAACTGAACCATAATTATGTAAGTCTCTGGTGCCCTGAAATTATGGAACTGTTCACTTTGATACTGCCTCGGCCTACAAACTTCTGAAAGTAAGTATCATAGCCTAATCATTTTCAAAAAAAGACATATTCCAGTCTTAATTAGCTCTATATTGTATCCAAACATTCTCAGTAGAGGTGGAAGCTTTTTTTTCCCCATAATACTAATACAAAAAAGCCCCTAGGCAACAGATTAGAGAAACTTCCTTCATATGAAATGAAAATATCTTTACATGCTGACAAAAATTCTGCCACAGGTCAAGAAACCATTTATTTACTGTGAAAGGTGGATTCATTCTGAGATCCAAACTATCTACACTCTACACTGCAGTAGCAAAATATCCCCATTTTTTTCTGCAGTCACTATCAAAGAAGGATACACTATTTGTTTTTTGTCTTCCAAATACAAAGACAATTGTGATAAAAGTTCAAAATGCTTCAAGAAGCAAATGTAGTATGGTACCGTATTCTAAAGATATCTCTGAAACAGTATTGTTGGACTCAGTGATATTTCATAACGTTCATATATTTTTTATTGAATAAAGCAGCTTTGAAGCTTATCAGGCACTGCCCAACAAATATTTCATCAAAAAAAATTTACGAACTTTTTAAACTTTGAGCTAGTAGCTCAATATTCTATTTTTCTAAAGAAAATTGTAAAATATTTCATAGTTTTAATTCTCAAGCCAACTCTTGCTGGCTTCCTGTACATTAAAAAACAAACAAACAAACAAACAAAAACTCTCAAAAAAAAGCAAGTCCCATGAAACAAACAAGAAAATCAGTAACAAAAAATAATCAGGAAAAATACTCTCAGGCAAAAGAAATAACAAAAAAAAAGAAGACAAGGAAACAAGAAAGAAAAAGAAGCCTGTAGATATGCTTGAAAGAAGACTACAGCCTAAAGAAAATTCAGTATTGCATAGCATGGTCTAAGAATTCAGCTTTCAGCAAACAGAAAAGGGAAAAAAGAAGCAGTCTGATATTGACAGTTTCCATCAATGATAGTTAGTCATCCAATACTATGTACACTATTATACACTGTATGCCACTGAAAGTCCTGTTTTCTTCAGTCTTAAATATATTCTTAAAACAGGATTTTTAATCATCTAAACAAAACACTTCCTGGCACTTTGCTATTACAATTACTCTGAACAACATACTGTAACTGAAGTCCTTTTAAAGTATCCCTTAGAAATGAAAGTGCCGTTCATTCTGCTACATATCATTCACTAGAAACCAAAAAAATCCACAACGCTGTGTGCCTGGATCCACTGAGTGCAGCAACATCATTCCAAGTTAGGTTGTGACCACAAAATTCCAATAACTGAATGATACAGACCTCTTATACCTTGTGTCTGGATAATCCAATGTTCTAGCTGGTAAAGCTTCAGAAGTGGTCGTAAACAAGCACCATGCTTAAAGGCCTCTATGTCCCTGCAGGGAGATCAGGTTTGGATTTTTCTCGTGTTTTTCTTTTCTTAATTACAAAAAAACCAAAAAGCACTTCAGATTGCAAACATACATTCACGGCTTACTACTGTGATCTCTCCCACCACAGTTGTGAAGGAAATCTCTAGTCCTATCTGAAACAGCTTTGAGACTGCAAATTCTTGAGTAAAGCTGAAAGGAGCCTTTTCTCTCCAGAGGCCTCAATGTTGTCAAATCATTTCTCTAGAAAAAACCAAACAATCCACAGTATTAAGATGTTCATCGCCTCTGCTGTGCATAAACTGGGTAGGCTAGTGTGACATTGAGAGAGTCATTGTGCTGCACAAGTGATGTGTGTTGATAATGTAGCACCAGTTCTTTGAGCGAATTGTACAAGTTATATGGCTCTGCAAATCCATACCCAGTAGGTGTTTTGTTTATCACACAGTGCTTTACTTCTCCATCCACCCTAAAAAGGAAAAAAAAAAAACCAGTTTTTAATTTGTGAGTACAGTAAAATTGAGATAGAAAATAAGGTATTGGCGATAAATCTTAAGATGCTAGTCAGCACATAGAATTCCTCTCTTCTGTGGTGAGATAATGGTAAAAACCTGGCTTTAGTCCAAATTCGCAGATGTCATGCTGGCTTAGGGAGGCAGGAGATAGGCAGGACTTAGCAGCTGCATTGAAAGGAGTGCACCCATGCTCTTGTTTCCCTTCTGAGTGAGGCTTATCTGTGGGAGTGGTACAGATTGGAGCTGTGTAGGAAATGAAGCAGCAAAGAGAATGGGCTCAGGACTTTCTAAACCCAAAGGTCCAATGGGAATCATGCATATGCAAGTGTCTATCTGCCCCCAGCTCGAGGTAGGCCTCTCAAATGTTGGTTACATCATTCACAAATTAGAGTACATACACAACAGAGCAGGCATAGCAGCCTTGTTTGCTGCTTTCTCGAACAAGGAATGTTCCATCTCGCTTTCCGCGCAGCAGATTTTCAGCTTGGCTTCTATTGATATTTCCCACATTCCATGTTCTCTCATCATGATGGGGCAAGTCCTCATCATCTTCTACCATAGAGTATTGGCTGCCAAAATTGGAAAAAAATGCATTAGTGAAACACATAGCAGAGTAAAATCCACTAATTGAATAGTGTCTATTTCATATTACTTACAAAAAAAAAAAAAAATCAGTGGTTAGTCCAATGCCTCCCTGGTAAAACTAGGAATGTAAACCAAGTAATATTGCACTGTTCAAACCATTGAATAAAACTAAAATATAAGCTCTGTTTCTTATTTCTTTGAAGAACACTCATGTAAATATGAAGAAGAATGTAAAAAGATGTTTCGCTATTTTTCAGAACCTGCTCTGAGCACTCCAGTACTCTACTACTACCGTTGTCTGCTGTTTTGGTAAATAGCAAGCCCAACAAAATCAATACCCTCTGAGTCAGCTTGATTTCCAAAGATCCGAACACTTGGTCAGCAATGAAAAATCATGCAATGTATCAACTACAGTTGCTGCTTGGAGAAGCTTTGAGCAGTTGTACAGATTAATTATTTATAGGGGAGATGGTTTTGTGGAAAGGGTGCAACAGTCGAGTGCTTTCTCTCTCTCTTCTTATAAGCAGATTATGAGAAGAGCATATAATACAGGGCCTTTTCTGCCAAATCAGCTACCAAGAATATAGTTGTTCCAGAGTTACAGAGAACCCTCTGAGCTAAAGCCCACCATGAAAGGAGATGCACCTGATTCAGCTGTGTGGACATCGCTTTGGTATTGAGCAGCTCCAGAGCTCCCCACTTGCCCAGCAGCCTGCACTGGTGGGCCCTGCCTCTCCTGATCAGCTTGCAGTCAATCTGTGTTTGGATAATGCACTTATTCTCTCTTTAAAAGGCTTTTAATCAGTTTTCCTTGGTTTAAGGAAAAATGACTTCTCACTCATCCATGGTTCTGTCTTTCTGATGATACTCAGAGTAGTCCACAAAAATCAGCAATCTCACCCAGAATTCTATTTTCACAGAGAAAAAGGGTTCTTCTGCTTCATGTAACACTCTCTTCACGTCCCTTATACCCTCATACTCTTTTGACCTGCATGATAGTCAAACACATGCAGTAGTGGCTCTACTTCCAATATAGAGAGTGTAATTCCTGTATTTTATCCTGCTCATTATATTGCTGTTTGGGTTTTTTGCTGCACTACAACTTCAGAAAAAGAGTAATCAAAAGTTTAATTTTTCAGCAGTTACCAGGATCGCTGGCAAGGAGAGTCATAGAGTGAGAGAAGAGGAAGATGTTCTTTAAACAGTTTCACTTACTATTTTGATGCTACACTAAACCCATGGAGTGGCATTATTCTTTCTCTACTGTTTAAGTGATAGGAGTACTACTGGGAACAGGTGCCTACATATTTTACATCATATCATCTTTGAATTGTGTTAAGATTCAGAAAACAACGTGGCTGTAAAACGTGTATGTCATTTTTATCTCCTGCTTCTACCACAGCAGAGAAGCACAATTTCTAGAATAACAGTAAGAGACTCAATAAACCAAGCCAAATTAAAATAGATGTGGACAAGGCTAGAATATAAAACCACTGAAGAGTCATTGTCAGTCTGCTGCTTTTGTTGTATATTCAACCAAGCAGCATAAAAGGCATGCACAAGAAACTACATAGGCAGAAAATATTTATACAAATATTACTGAGACAACTTTGATTTTCTATTTGTTCATTCTTCACTGTTACTACTTCAGATATTATTTTGTGTCCCGCTTTTGTTAAAATCTGGTCTACATTCACAAAACCCAACTGCTTTTTGCTTTTTTCCCCAGTCTAGCCCCTGTCAGAAGCTATAGTATACTAAATTGCCTGAAATGACAGAATACTATCCTGCCATTTTCCGGAAAAATTAAATAAATCACAAAACCAGAGAAGGCCCACTCCTCAGCATATACAAATTTATTATCTCCAACAGTAATGTGATATACTCATGTGGGTACCACTACAGAAGATAACAATATGGTAACAACAGCTGAAATTCAGAAAAAGGCTGCTCATACCTAAGAGACCTTCTGAACAATTTATCCATCCATGTCACGTCTCTCTAAGATACTAACACTTCATGAACTTAATTTTGCTGGTAAGAATAAAGACACAAGTTACATTTCAGTGCTTTGCTATAGTAACTTGATTATACACTTCCCTGAAAAAATGTAGAGTAGGGGGTGAGACAGCATCCTTTCCAGTACTGGCATTATGTAGGCTGTCATGCCTTAACAGTGTGCATTGTTAGTAGGCTTGAGATTTCCTCTGTGTGGTCCAAGAATTAAATATGCTTTATCTCACTTCTCTGTAAGATGATTTGAAAACCAGAAATATTTAAATCTTTCAATACTTACTCTTCTGCATTTTCATTTCCAAGCCACTCATTTAGCTTCTTTTGCCGAACACCTTTTTGAGTCAGCCACCTGGACAATAATTGTAAATAAAATTAATTTTTAGTCACAAATGTTGGATACCATTAAAAAAAAAACAACTTAAAACCAAATTTGTTAATTCATGATACTCACATCAAGTACTGATCTCTTGTCTTCCTCAGCTGTATGAGGTCTGGTTTAATGCTGTTCATACGCTTGTCTATCTCTCTATATTCAGCTGCTTGCTTCTTTAAATCTTCTTCTAATCTACGCCTGCTGTCCACAATTTCACTTATCCGAGACTTCAGTTTTTCATAGTTGTGCATAATTCTAGATAGAATAATGCGGCAGGTTAAACTCTGATCTCTTACTCATAACTTTATAATCTGCTATTTATATGTGTAGACACTTAAGGGAACAGATTACTTCTCTAGATGTAGCTATGTATTTCACAAGTTCACATCTACCCTATTTGAGGCTTCTTTGCTTACAGCTTTAAACTTGTCATCTTGCTTCAGTTTCAGGCACACCTATACTTGGCAGTTTGTTTTTTCAAAAACCACACAATTTGATATGCAAAACCAAATACTGACCTCTGTATTTCTTTTTCATTTCCTTCTCGTTTAAATTTTTCAATGTACTCCTTACTGTATCTTTCTTGTGTTTGGCACTGCTCTTCAAATATTTTTATTGTTTCATTAAATGCCTCAATAGCTGTTCTTTTCATTTGAATTTCCTGAAAAAAAAAGTAATTGTTATTACAGTTGATATCAGACAAAGGGGAAAATTTATTGGCTTCTATCACAGAAACACTTCAGTATGTTGTAAAACAAGACTTCAATATCCCTTTACCAAAAAGGCATTATTCAAAGCCTTATGACATAGAGACAACAGGCTTGTGCAAAAGGCTACCATGATGAGGTTTATCAAGGAAGTGGAACTGCTAGAAAAAGAACCAGTTACAACCTTTGCTTTGTATAAATAAATTTTATTTGTGATGCTTAGAGCCGTACGGCAGCACCCTTTGCCCTTTGTACCAACTAATGTCCTTAGAGGTACAGCTGACTTTCTGAAATAAAGGTGTAAGATACTGGCCTGAACAGGTCTCATGAAGTCATCTAGCCTATCCTGCCACTACATACCTAGTTGATAGCCAAGTCTTTAGTCATACAAGTTAAAGTTCAAGTTGCCAGAAGTTCTCCACTTTTCTTCAATTATTTCAATTCTTCAATGCTTCCTTGCAAACATGCCTTGAAAACCATAACTCATCTTGATGAGGTCAGTATGCAGAAGTGCTGGTAAATCCAGATAGTTATGGACTTGCTTTGGATGGAGTTGTCAGAGTTGGGCACAGTGTAGTCAAGTTTACAGGTGATGGGTGTTCAAACACAAGTAAGTAATTGTACTATTCTGAGCAACCATATCAGGGCACTGGCAGTGGTGGTAGAGGGGAGGAGTAGGAAGATGGCAGCATGAATTCACAATAATATTCTTCAAAATCTACAAAGTCTTCCACTCTGCTTCAAATCTAGCTCACCTGAGATGTTCTTGTGTAGTCTTCATACAGTCTGTCATATTCTCTGCTTTTTTCTTGGAACTGGGTATTATATTCATGTAATTTCTTTCCCACTGCTTCAATGCTATCCTCTTTTACAACTTGATCCTGGAATGACGAGCAGAAGGAAAGATATTCCGTAATGAAACAACTGTATTGCAGAGATTTTCCAGATAAAACTACTTAAAAATACCTAGATAATTACATGGAAATGTGATTCCTCTTTCTTCAATACAGAGAATACTAAATGCATAATATGCAAATGAGAAATTAATGACAAAAAGAAAATTTGTATTGCAAGTGTTTAGCTTTATACTGAAAATTATATATTTTATCATTGAGTGGGATATTTATTAAGATGTTTATTTCTTAATAATGTATCCACAGTATTTAAATTTTCAAATTTACATGGAAAGTGTGGAGTTGTTTTTAAACAAAAATATCAGGTTTTACACCCAATTTATTTTTTCACGCATTTACAGAACTGAAGTGCTTAATGATAAATGACTTCTCAGTCTGCAGTAATTTCTCAGTATTTAAGTAACACACAAAGAAAATAGACTAAATTACCTGTTGGTACTTAGATACTGGATACAGTAATTTTACATCCAGTTTAGGATTATACTGGGCTAGAGATTCATTCCGGTAGTGGTTTATTAGCTCGACCACAGAGTTGAAAGTTAATGGGTCAGAAAAACCATATTTTCCGTCTCGATGAAAAATTTTGATTAATTTGTTATTTCCTCCTTTCCTGCAAATACAGTATGTTGAAAAGTTAGGCATACTTCAAGTACTATTTCCTAAAGCACGCTGTATGTTAAATGCAGTTATTGCATTTTACTATCGAGTATCACAGACTTAGTATTAACTAATCTCACCTTAGAGTAAGTGTGTAGTCCCCATGCATCTTGGTTGAAGCATCTCGTACCAAAAAGGTACCATCAGCAGTGTCTCGAAGCTTCTCATTTACTTCTTCCCTAAAATGAAAGCAAAAGTAATCAATCATTTCAGTTACTTCTCATGCATTTATTCTCTCACTGTGCTCTAATTTTTTCTGGTTTAAAACAGGTAGGTTTTAGAAGCCTTCTAGATCTCCATATTAATAAATACAATTATTCAATAGCTCATTTAAAGTTACTGGAGAAAACTGGGATACAAAAATGGCATACTCTGTCCTCTCACTGCTGGACAAAATTATTATTCATGCAAAGGTCTTTCTGCTTGTTCATACAAGCCTGTACAATTTGAGCAGCCAGTGCTGGCCTAGAGTACCTATATATAGTACAGTTAAAAATGTTGCTAATATATGGCACTTGTTAGTCTGATTTGTTAACTATTGTGCCTACAATTGAGGTTTTGGATGAAAGACAAGAAGAAAATATTTATTTCTTGGTGCTGTCCTTTCATGCTAGTCTTTCATATAGCTATCTTAAAGTAATAGAACAATCATTTTGCATACTACATTCTAACTTTTTAGTCATGTTTGGAATAAAACCAGCTGTAATATGTTTGTGTTGGAAAATATCCTAAAAATGGCTCTTATAACTCTAAATTTTTTACACTTGAAGCATAATACACAGAATAGCACAGCAAGAACATCAAGCCAAGCATAAGAAATATATGTCTTGAGCTGATTTACCTTGAGATATCTCCCCAGTACCATTCTGCATCTTGTAATGACATGTTGTTATTCATGCTATTGTTAGTTACGGTATTAGGTTTTGGTGGCTTAGGAGGCAGTGCTGCAAATGAAAGGGGGGAAAAAAGTTGATTATAACACACTGAGAACATGACCATATATTCCTTAAAATCACATGTTACTACATGAATTCTATGATTCTATGAATGAGGAAAAAAAAGGACTGGTTACCAAACAGAGTTGTCCATCACTAACAGTTTTTAAAAGACATTAGAGGAATCAAGATACTGTACTGAAAACAAAATAATTCAAAATAAAGTTGTACTGTTTCAAAAAACTATGTTACTCTTGTAATAATGTATTTTAAGCAAAATATAACACTAAACTCACCTCCTCCCTCTGTGAAGAAAGCATTTGAGAAAAAAAATCTGAACTTTGCTTTTACCTTCTTTCACTACCTTCAGGTGAACATAAATAATGAAACATGCCAATTTTTTTTTATCCTCCTATGTAATAATCTTAGACAAATTTTGCTGCATCCTTACCTAGAAGCTGAGTAATAAAAAATGCAAACCCACAGCAATACTGTATATTTCAAAAAGAATTGTGTTTTTGTGATCCTTAGCATTCTGTGCAATGATATGCAAAAAAAAAGGAAAAAAACCCCAAACCAACAGTTTAAGAAACCCATCTGTGACCTAAATATCTCTTGTGTTAATCTTATTATTCTACAGAATAAATTGTGTTCAAATGGCAGGACTGATTAAAAACCACATTCCCCTTTTCTCAATGTCAAAGCTGCATACGTATACCAGTGGGTGCCAGAGAAGATACTGCAGCACTGACTTAGTAACAAGGGGGACTACATTGGAATCAGCATCAAAAATCAACTCAGCTCTTTCAGTAAGTACATCATTCCTGTCCTGTATAGTATGACCGGACTCAAAAGACAATGTTTTTAAAGTTGCAATGAATATCAGGATAGCATAATATTTTCATATAATATGAAAAAAATGATGCTATAACAGGTATTCAATTAATATTGCTAAATTTTAAAAATGTTTTTCCTTAAACAGTCCAAACCAATGATTTGTAATCAGTATTTCAGAAAACAAGAGTGATACTACAGCATCTCCTTTTAGGCACAGTGTGGAACAGAGACAGCAAAAATAATAATAAAAGAAATACAATTTTTTAAATGATATAATAGCAGGACTTGAACTACCTCTGATATAATTTAAAAAAACTATAAACAGGTCAATTCATTAAAAATTCAATTAAATAAGCAGACAGGTATATGTTAAGATTCTAATTACTACAACCATGCACTAAACAACAATTTCATTCTAATTTATGAAAAAAAAAAATTGTGTCAATAACAAAGTAAAGAAATCCTACACATCCAGTAGCAATTTTCCAGCATCTATTGCAAAGACCAAAATTATTAAGTCTTCTATAATAAGACTGCAGTTTTACCTGGTGGATCCATTTCTATGTAAAACATCAAGTCTGTGCCACAACTTATATCTGTCTTAGGATATTCTACATCCAGTTCTTCCATATTCCAAACAGTATTGTACATTTGTATGAGTTTCACTGAGTAAGCTCAGATACAAGAAAAGAGTCAAGCTTTCTTTGTAATGGTGTCTTGGAATTCATTTTAAAACCTATAAGGGGCTGCACTGTAACCTATTACATCATAATCCTCAGCCAATCATGTCAAAATAATGTCACCAAACCACTCCTGCTTCCTTATTTTGCTCTACATTAATCTTAAAACAATTTCAGTTTTGGAAAGAATCTACAGTTAGCAGAACTGCAATATAAACCTGGTATTACACACAAAAGGAGCGAGTGGACTCTCCGTGCCCGTGTTCCCGGCTCATTTTCCTGACTTAGCAGCATGGTACAGTCCAATCCTCGCAGGATGACAAAAGGCTGATATGCTGCAGCACGCAGCTCTTGCACACACACACACACACAGGGCAGCTCCCTTTAGAAGCATGTCAGTCACATCTCAACTGCATTCTCCTGCTTGGATGCCTGAAGTTTACCATTCAAAAAGCTTTAAAAGGATTCTAGACCTACTGTACATATTAAAGATGCAAAAGGGAAAAGAGCATGACTTTGTGCATGTCCATTACACACTCATTTTAGACAAACATCCACACAGACACATATATATCCACATAATGAAATACAGATTATGTTTTTAACCTGTGCAGATTTCTATTATTCTAATGGGCACACAGGTCTGATAGGGTAGATATTATTACATAAAACATGCTTACTACAGAGATGTCTTCCTCTCTTATCATTATGTAACAAAACACAGTTCAAATCAATCTAGATTGACTGATTTTGAAATCTAAAAAGCAAATATTTTAATCTTCGCAGATTCGCTGAAAACATGGAAGAAAGTCAAAACTGAGCAAGATCTTCAAAAGTGTTTTTGCTGTCTGTCAGGATACAAAAAGATTTAGTCTGCCTTTTCATGTTTTCTCTACCTTATTCTCACTGAGATATTTATCAAGTTAATTGTTTTTAAAAGTAAGAGTCCCTTGTCAGTGTCTCCTTCATCACTTGACTTTATGTCATCAGTATCCTCCTCCCATTTAGAAATATTCCATCTTAACTCCCCCCATCAGTTGACTGTAACTCTCTCCCACCTCTTGGAAGAAACATGCACAGAACAGACTATTAACTCCAAAGCAGAATGCTATGTAAAGTAACGTGAATATTTTATACTTGCTATAATCTATGGGGGGAGAAAATCAGAGACCAAAAATAACCATGACAAAGACTAGCTGTAGCAACTATCTGTGCCTGCATCATAAGAAATTCTGGAGCAACATTTCTGAAATAGAGCACATTTCAATGTGCTCTATCTCAGAAATATCAGAAATATTAATTAAAAAAATTAATACAATTTATATCCTTCCCAAATATTTCACACATGTTAATCCCTGCCTCCCTTCCCCCTCCCACCCCACATGTCTGGTCTGTGCCTCTCAGCAGGTTAACCCTTTCAGACAAGCCTCAATATATAAGAGCGTATCTGGAGTACCAGAATATACAAAAAGATGAATGCTAGTTTGCTTTGTACATTAAGAAGCTTAAATTCATTCTGAAGTAGACTCTGCTCTCCCGGTTTAGGTAGACATGTTCCAAAGATTCATTTCATTTCCAAAATGAAATAGGATACTCAAAATCACCCCAGACACAAGTCTAAACACTGAACTTGGAGGTTTAGCCCATCTGCTACCCAGACAGTTGAGTTGCCAAGGTAATTATTTAAATTAAGCAACAAAGACTTCCTATGAAGAGAACATTGCTGCATTTAGGTCTCATGTGGGATCAGTAAGATTTTATTCCATTGCATAAAGATTTTAAGGAAAAATTATTTCACTAGGGTTTCACTGGTGGCCAAATTTAGGACTCAACAAACTTGTATAATCAGGTTAGTGCTCAGCTCAGACTAGTCTAGCCTGCAGGCAAGAAAAGACAGGAGGCAGATTCCCCAGGCTATTCCCCATTCCATATATAACCTGGAGAGGTACCAAAGTAATTTTAATTCATGTATCTTAAGAGCATTAAAACTCTACCTGGTAATCAGTTACAGTATGATACTTCCACAACATGATGAAGAAAACACACACAGAAGTTGAAAATCACTTACTTTGTAAATTATGCATTGCAAATGATCGCCCTTGTAATACTGTCGGAATATACAATCCAATATTGGTTTCCTCTTATAAAAATCTTTCTTAGAAAAAACAACCCAAAACCTCCTTTCACTAGGAAGGTTTTCAGGAGAAATGAAGAAAAAAATTCTGAAAAAGAGATTGCTCTGCTTTCCAACCAATGTTCCATAAAAATCCCTAAAAAAACTGCAACATGCAGTGAGAAAATCCAAGCCTTCTCTCTCTTCTTAACTGCTTAAAGCTCTGTGCTGTGCAGAAGGTATCCACTTACTCTGGCTCATCATTAAAAAGTGCACCTGACTTCAGCGCTACAGAAAAAAAAAGAAACCACCACCCTCAGTAGCTTGCACGTCTCTCTCAGATAAAGATCTCAGCTTCATGATTAACTTGGGTAGGTTCAAATATTTGCTGAGCCAGGGGTTTCAGGTGGGGGAGGGGACTCAGATTCAAAGTAAAAGTTGTCATCAGCTAACAAGTGGCCAATGCAGGACTAACTTTCTCATTTTAGCTAAGTAAATGAGAAGACCATTGTAAGAGGCCTTAAAATAGTCTCTAGCACTGGCTGCTGCATGTAGTATTGAAGATGAGAGAAGCACCATGAACAGCCAAATACAGGAAGTGGCTAACTGGAAAAAAAAAACAAAACAAAAAAAAAAAACAAAAAAAAACCCAACAACAAAAAAAGAGAGGATAAAAATTATCCTTGAAAAGAGCTGCATCTCTCAGAGCACCCTGTGCAAGCAAAAGAGCCTGCTTGCAAGTACAGCATCCCCTCCTACACACTTATGCTGGGTCACAAATACAGGTGCTGCTTCAAGACCCCTAGTCTGATGCTGTGAGGCTTTTTACCTATTTCCTGTAAAGTAAAAATACTACAAAAAACACCTATCTGTATCCATGGTGTTTTCCAGTAGGTAGGATTGTTCATTTCTTGGGAAAACAACAGTGAAGAGGGAGAGCTTTAGGTCAAATTTATTTTCCTTGCCTTAGTGTTTAGTGCAGACCAAACTTGCTAAAGGAACAGAGCAGCAATTGAAAAGCTTGCTCCCCTTTGCCTTCTTTGCCAGATAAACTTCCATGATGAAATAAATTCAAAGTGAAAGGAGAAGCAGACACATTCAAATAAAGAGAGAAGGGGATTAATATTTTCCTCCCACTTGTTGCAAACAGTGAGAATTTCTAATAGCTGTGTTGTTTCAGATCTTCTTGTTGCTTGTTATGGCAGCCAAATAGCATAGAAATTTGTGCCTTCCTAATACTTCACCTACTGAAATACTCCTAATGCTGCAAAACATCACTTGCACCTAATAATGAAATCTCAAATATCTGCAGTATATTTTTGATGTTTTGCAGTTGATTGATCAGCTTCACCTATAACAATTCCTTGCTTCTGTAGTTT